TAATTCCAACAATTTTTGTTTCTCACAAAATTACCCACAAAAAGAGTAATTCACCAAGCCAGCTTAGAGATCTAGACCCACCCGACATCAGGGTTAGGAGCATCGTACTTGATCGGGTACGGGTCGGACTTCGGATCCTGAGTTGTCTATTTTGATATTTTTACTATTTTATATTTCTATTTTTTTCTTTATCACAACTTATATGAATTTTTATAAATTTATAAACTTTCTTAATTTCTTTTTCATGAATGACATTCTATAGTAGATCACGGTGGCTTAATTGATTGTATTTTCAAGCAAGCATTCTTGAGAGAAAATTCTCCCGCCTAAGCATTCTCCGCCTAAAATCCTAATATGTAATTTCACTTTCCGCAAAAAAAAATCATCATCTTATACCTAAAAGCACTACACTGGAGAGAGAAAATTCTCCCGACTAAGCATTGTCCGCCTAAAATCCTAAAATGTAATTTCACTTTCCGCAAATAAAAATCATCATCCTAAAATCCTAAAATGTAATTTCATTCTATACCTAAAAGCACTATATTGGAGAGAGAAAATTTTCCCGTCTAAGCATTCTCCACCTAAAATTGTTAGGTTTGCAATGACCATTAATAAGAGTCACGGACAATCGTTGAAAAAAGTTGTTATCTTACTCTGACGCTCCATTATTACTCACAAACATTTGTACATGGCGGTGTGGAGAGTAACAAGTTCATGGGATTGGAGTTTCTAATGACGAAGATGGAAAACCAACCAAATCAACATTGAATGTTGTTAACAAAGAAATATGTACTATAGAGTAATTTATAATTTTTGGTATAATGTGGTGGACTTAAATGCACATCCATTTCATCGTGTGATGTTTTACATTTAGATCTTACCATTTATTCAGAATTTATATATTGTTTTCAAATAATTCTAACACAGTCATATTTTTTAAATATTTTTAAATATATAACTATATCTAAATTATTATGTGGGTGTCTCACTCCCGTGCAGCGCACGGGTGGAGTAACTAGTTTTTTAAAATTATACGCATAATGTATTTACTTTGTAACACATCGAATGTAATTTCACTTTCCACAAAAAAAAAATTCATCATCGAATGTAATACTACCTCCGTCCTGATGGACTTTGCTAAGTGCAAAGTAGGTGAGAAATAAGAAAAGTAAAAATTGTGTGGTTGAGATTTATGCAGAGGAGAGAGAAATGTGCAGCACCACAAATTAGTTTCTTTAATCGGAAAGTGGTAAAGTTTTTTGAGATAACCAAAGAGGAAAAGTTGGCAAAGCCCAATGGGACCGAAGGAGTATACAATAATAATGCCTAGGAATAACCAAACCTAGTGCATTCAAAGCATTTTTACTCTGCTTCGCATAATATTTTGATAATTATTTGGTAATTCCAACAATTTTTGTTTCTCACAAAATTACCCACAAAAAGAGTAATTCACCAAGCCAGCTTAGAGATCTAGACCCACCCGACATCAGGGTTAGGAGCATCGTACTTGATCGGGTACGGGTCGGACTTTGGATCCTGAGTTGTCTATTTTGATATTTTTACTATTTTATATTTCTATTTTTTTCTTTATCACAACTTATATGAATTTTTATAAATTTATAAACTTTCTTAATTTTTTTTCATGAATGACATTCTATAGTAGATCACGGTGGCTTAATTGATTGTATTTTCAAGCAAGCATTCTTCTATGATACTCTCTCCGGTTCTCAAAGAGGTTCATAATTTGACTTCGCATAGATTAAGAAAATAAATTTGACTTTACTGTGGAGTGTACTGTTTGGCACTGTTTGACACTGTTTTGCACTGTTTTGGTGTAGATAATTTGCCAAATAAGGAAATAAGAAGAAGTGTGAAGTTAATTTCGGGACTTCCCGAAAAGGAAAGTGGGAAGTTGTTTGAGAACCGGAGGGATTACTTTTTTAGTATGTGAACTCAAGTGATGGATTTGATTTTTTTTATTTGATCCTTTTCCCTTCTGAATTTAAAGACATACTACATCTATTCTTAAATAAATTCAAAATGATAACACAATTCATATTATCTACTTTGACTGCATTTTTCTATTAATGTATTTGAAATTTATTTTAGAAAATATTATATTGTTCAATTTGTCTCATTTTAATTTAAAAAATCTCAATTTCAAAATATTTTACTTATAGAGAATAAATATATGCATATTTAATGTTTTATGTTGCCAAACTTGAAGATGAAAATGTTACATCCAAAGAATAACAGAAGTATCTCTAAATAGGAGGATAAACATCTTTCTTAATAGTCACATACGTAGTATGGAGTATTTAGTACACAATGTATTAATGTTCCACCAAATATCATCATCAATCATGTTAGTAATTATTTCTAGAAACACTTTTTTTGTCGAAAATTTAAAAAATGTTAATAGTCATGATGTTGTTGGGCGTAGATTTGAACACTTGTTCCAATAAAGTATACGACAAATAAAGAAAACTAAAAACAAATTGTTATCTTTATTGACATTGTGAGATGTTCATAAATGTGTTTCTAGAAATTCTTTTTGCTTTTATATCTTTCTCCAAAATATCATTGTAAGGCTATGACTAAGAAATTCATAGAATCAGCCACCTTATACAAAGAAACCTGATTCGCTAGACACAAAACGGGCAAATTTAATAAGCCTAACACAATAGGAATTGAAAATACTGCCTATCAAAAATACTTCAGAAATTCAAATATCCAAATCAAACCTACTTGAAGTAAAATAAAAATAAGTATTCCTAAACAAAAAATAAAACTGAAATAAAGCTTTTCCACAAAATTCTTCTTGAATTAGCACGGAGGTAGTTCTGGAGGGCGAGCTCTATCATTTTCTATGCAGTCCAAAAGAAGGTAGATAGAATTCCCTGACCAGATGAAGCTGGTCGGGACACCTAAATTACTCTCCACACCAAGGAAGACGAAATAACCCAGAGCGCCAGTGCCCAAGAAATAACCGTCATAACACAGAACATTCTCCGCCTAAAATCCTAAAATGTAATTTCACTTTTCGCAAAAAAAAAATCATCATCCTATACCTAAAAGCACTACACTGGAGAGAGAAAATTCTCCCGCCTAAGCATACTCAAATAATAATATCATACCAGGGTTGCTTCCACTCATGACTCATCATCAATTCATCATAGTATATTGGTATTATGGGCAACACATTGCAGATTAAAACAATAATACATCATAACCAAAACAGATTATTAACATTGTACATTCAGAATTCAGAAAACTCTCAAGGTGAACACCAAATCACTTAATAAGTAATTCATCATCATTCTAAGGTGTTTGATAGGCACTAGTTGTTAGTGCCTATTTACTAGTATTGTGCAAGTTTATAGTTGTTAGTTTGCATTTGATTGTAATCGTATTTCTAGCATTTTATTGTTTGTTGTAAGTTGTAGTTAGTTTGGCTATAAGTTTAGGATAGGTTTGGAAGCAAAAAGGATGAAGAAACCTGAGTTTTGTGCAAAACCCGGTCGGGTATGGACTATACCCGGCCGGGTATGAAGTGACAAAGGAAACTGCTGCAAAACTAGCAAATACCCGGTCGGGTATTCCATATACCCGGTCGGGTATTCTGTGATTTCGGACCAAAGAACGTGCAGAAGACACAAAAACATGGGAAAATATTTGATTTGGTAAATACCCGGTCGGGTATGTCAAAATACCCGGCCGGGTAACCGGCATTAGGTGTTGAAAACACCTATAAATAGCCCCATTTTCCTTCACATTTGATCATCCCTTCTTCCATACTCTTAAGCTCAGTTTAGAATAGCATTTCTTTATATTTTTCTAGCTATGTTTAGTTTCCAAATGAGGAGCTAAACTTCAATTCTTGGTGTTGCTCTTGAAGCTTGTTGATTATTAAAGTTGTGAGTTATTTTCTTAACTTCTTGCCTTGAATATTAATTAATAGTTCTTTCCTTAATACCATCTCTATATTAATGTTGGGGAGTGTTGCTAAGATTACAATTAGTTAACATCTCGACATTAGTTAGAATGATATTTTCTTCCTCTATATTAATGTTGGGGAGTGTTGCTAAGATGACAATTAGTTAACATCTTGATATTAATTATAGTAGGATTCATCTTCTTTAATAATATTCTTCCTTGAATATTAATTAATCCCTACTCTTATTTCATATTAATATTTTGAACATTACTTTTAATCTAATCTATAAAGTAAACTTAACATATTAAAAAACATTAAGAGTATGAACTTTTTACGTAATCACATACGTATATTAGGTATATAGGAGAACAAGCAAAATTCGTTAGGGATAAATTTTATACTAATAGAGAATTAATTAAAAAACATTATGAGTATGAACTTTTTACGTAAGCACATACGTATATAGGAGAACAAGCAAAAGTGGTTAGGGATAAATTTTATACTAATAGAGAATTAATTAAATATAACTAGTGATGTTACGGTCAAAGTTGTGTGTTAACAAGTGTGAAAATGAAAATGTTGCAACAAAAAGGGAACAAATAAAATATAAATTTACCTTTTAATGTAGATGAAATAGTAAAATTTTATGAATAGTTTTTAAAATTTATAATATATCTTTTACAACCATTTTATACATGCAAAAGTTTGAAAGCTGGACACTGATAATTTGCAGTTCAAGTAACAATACGAAAATATATTTACTTATTAATATATTAAAAATGAAATAACACAACATATATATATATATATATATATATATATATATATATATATATATATATATATATATATATATATATATATATATATATATATATGTTCTCGTCATCGATGAGGAAATTTTTTTCATTACCTACAATATACGGAGTGTTATACTTTTGACCTTTTCTTTCTCTACCTCTATTTTTTGTCGGCCTAAACACCTTAAACCCTTTAATCCACCGTCTGTATATATAGAAGATACCATAAGTCCCATCACAATATATTACGTAGTAGATTGCATTAATTTTTCATTATTACTATTTGTAAGATAGTTGATCGAACAAATGAAACTAGTTTTCAGGAACTTGTTCTTGCTTGTCCTCCTTACTCTTTCAGGTATTTTAAAAAACTATACGTACAAGTATTATCTTTCGTTTCTTTTTAGTTTTAACATAAATGATTTTATACTATTGAGATGCTTCGTTTTGAAATATTTTATTAATGAATGTATGAGAATTATTTTAAAAAAAATATACTGTTGAATTCTTCTCATTAAAAAAATATTGTTGATTTTATACTGTTCTAGGTCGGGTTTTTCGATCGTTCATACAATTGTAAACACAAACATTAAGTTTTTTTAAGAAACTATAATATAGCTTAGCTCTCATATATTTTCAAAAATAACAGGTTTAGCAGTCTAAATCATGAACATGAATAAATTTCTTTCTACATACTAATTGTCATCATAAACGTGGTTTGACGGGCATTATTTTGAATTGAATTCGGCAATGATCCGCGAATTGGATCTATTTGATAGCCTCTCACGAAAAAAATTCTATGGGAGCCATGACAAAAATCTTTGCAGATCCGTGACAAATTAGAACCAATTGTTATTTTAGTGACGTGATAGTATTTGATATTTTCATGTTTCAACACATCATTAGTGGAACCAACCATTCCAGCTCACTGGGTAGAAGGTTACCGTGTCCTAGCAAAGGTCTCGGGTTCGAATCCCGCTAGGCACATTTAGGAGAGAGGAGCGGAGGTCTTTCTACCTTCACAGAGTTGTTCAGCAGCTGAGAAGGGAGAGGATGGTAATGAAGGTAGCGGGTTCGTGTGGTGGGAGGAGCAGCCTGAAAGGTGATGTAAGTCCTGCTGGATTCGTCCTTTGGAGCCAGTACTGACGAGGTTGACTGTGATCAGATCCGGACTTAACTTTCTAGGGGCTTTGGGGGGTAGTTCATAGACTCCAGGATTATGGGAGCGTAAGCCCCGACACCTGGATTATCAAAAAAAAAAAACCATTACTAGGCCTGTCAATGGGTCGGGTCTAGACCCGGACCCGACCCTGACCCAGTTGTTTTTAATGGGTACGGGCATGGGTGGAGCGAGGGGTGGGCCAACCTAGGCCATGGCCCACCCCAAATTTTAAAAATGACTTAATTTTTAAGGTAAAATATTTCGTGTAATTGTTTTTCTAAAAATATTTTTTGTACCGGCCCACTCCGGCCTAGTGCCCTGGCTCCGCCCCTTGGTACGGATCTATATTTTATTCCGTTTACCCGGACCTGGACCCGTTAGTATTTTAAATAAACGAGTCGGGTATGGTACATATGATTCCAACCCGTTAAGGATCCGGACCCGTTTAAAATTTCTTATTTATATACATAGACACTAATACATAAAGTGATTAGTTGTAACACTTTAAATAAAATAGAAACTACTCCGTAATATACATATATACATAATAATACATAAAGTTATTAGTTGTGATTCTTCAATAAAAAAAATACAGATTAATACATAACTACTATATAAGTGATAATGATCGAGATAGTAAGATACCCTAAAACTAATGCTCATTTTGGCCGTAAATACATAATGATAACGTATGTATTGGGCTCGATAGTAAATGAACAATATTTATTACTATTATTATTAATATCATTATATCATTATCATATATAATACTATCGTACTACATATGATTTTATACTCTTAGTAGTCCAAGAGACTAAGGCTTGGATGTTGTTGTTGTTGTAGTAGTCCAAAATACCTTTTTATGACTTAATTTCTAGTTTATTCTATGAGTTTTTTTGTGCGAGAGAAAGCGATGCAGAGTATGGAGCTATATGCATGTACAAGAACTGATACTTTATTAGATAAAAGTACTAATTTTCTATGAGAGATCTTGATTTTTTTTGAAAAGTGATAATATATTTTGCTTTTAAAATTGTACACTTTGCTTTATATTTCACATACATGTCTTGTTATTTTCACAAAGTTTATATTGATGTGCGTATCATACTTGGCGGGCGGGTCTACCCGACCCGATTCCGAGATCCGTTGAGTCTGGGTCCGTGTCCAAATTTTCAGATCTGCCGGGTAAACGGGTCGGGTCTGGGTCTATTATTAACTTAGCGGGTCCGGGTTTGGAACACTACGTTCCGACCCGGACCCAACCCTTGACAGGCCTAACTATTACTTTAGTTGAAATTCTGAAGTCAAAATTCCAATTGCTTATAATAATAAACTAAATATTACTCCATATCAGAGAAAAGTTAACTTTATTATAAGCATCTTAAACGGAAACAGAGAGTTCGTTTTAAAACGAAGAGCGTAAAAAGTAGTTATAGAGTGCGTGGTTCATTATAATGCGATACAATGATAGTGATGATGCTTCTCTAATACTTAGAGATCAGGTTTCCAATCACATTCTCGGGAAAAATTGTTTTATTTAAATTTCGCGCGCTGAATTGTGTAATAATAAGAAAAAATAAGGTTTGAATTACTTTTCTTGTTGTATGGCCGAAGTGAGGGTAGATATCATTTTAGCTATTTTCTCATATAATTTTTTGTTTATATTAATTTTATTAATAAAAAATACTCCTTCCGTTCCTATTAAAACTTCCAACTTTCCTTTTTAGTCCGTTCCAATTAAAACATTCACTTTCCCTTTTTGGTAAACAATTTGTGGTTCACAACATTTCTTACACATTTCACTCTTCTCTGCACAACTTTCCACCACACAATACTCACTATCTTAAATTGTGTGCCAAACCTATTTGGAAGATAAAATAGGAACGGAGGTAGTAGATTTTAATTTTTTTCCTTAAATGAGCATAATCACGCAATTCATCTACTTCACCTAAAAATTCATAAATTTGATGAGAATCGGAGCGTATTGTACGTATTAGGTATTACCAAGCGGGCTCTAATCAATTTTGAGTTTGCATGCAGTTGGGGAGATCAAGCGAGAACATATGTATGTGAATGGTGAGGCGGCGGTTGGAGCACCACCACCAGTGGCGCCAGGTCCACCATCGCCGCCGCAAGATTCATCATGCTTCAAGAAGAAAATGCCGTCTGTTAATGTTGGATGCAATCCCGGTAACCCTGAGGGATGTGCAACTGCATGCTCAAATACTCAATCTGCGTGGAAGGCGTTGTGTGAGCCCGATCAAAGCACTACGCCTAATGGCCAATACGCAGGCAACTTAGCTTGTCACTGTGCAGAATCCTGTCAATGCGGCAGTTCACCCGACTGCACAAACCCCGTTAATATCCCCGCGAATGCTACAACACCCGGATCCGGATCCATCTCAATCTCAACACAAGCACCCACTCTCCTACTCCTACTCACATATATCATCAATATCCCATTATTATATTAATTAACACCTGATCATTAGGTTCTTTATCATTATCATTATCATTATCATTATCATTATCATTATCATTATACTACTCCCTTATATATTTATATATATATATAATGTTCCTTCCCATCATGCATGTACTCGTTACTTGGTACTCGGCACACAAAGTTACCTATTGCAATTCAATCCCTTTGTTTTCGTTTGATTTTCTTCATCCTTATTCCATTTCGATCATATCAATTCAAACATGTAATGTACGACAGATTACACTCTATTATATACGATAGTATGAAGTATCATCTTTTTATAGCTAGTATTTTGATCATCATTAATTTAGGAATCCCAACTAAACGTTTTATTCATACGTACCCCTACCTATATACTCAGCTCCCCCGTCCCTAGCTTGATATACATTCAACATTTCATGGTCTCCAACATTAACGTCTAACTATTGATATGTAAAAATATACACTTATCAGACTTATAATGAACCAACAATTCAATAATATATATTAGAATGAAGCATTCGAAGTAATTTTGATATTGGGGGGTGTTTGGCAAATGGTCATTGGTTGTTGTCCGTTGGTTGATTGTGTTGGCTGATTGATGACAACAGATTCTGTTAGCTGTTTTGATTAGCTAATAAAGTTAGCTGTTTGTAGAATGATATTTGATTAAATGATTGTTTACAATTAGCTGATATGTTGTTAAATGATTTTATTTTAAGGACATCAATTAATTTTTGTACAAATTCTTAACCTCTTTTTTTTTTAAAACATACTCCGTATATCTTAATAATTACTTAGGTATCTTTTTTAAAAGGGTCATGATCAATACAAGCTTCTCCTTTGATGAACGTCTTCATTCTTTAACTTATTTTCAATTTTTGCAATGGTGCGGGTGTGGTGCCTTTGAGGTTGACTCAAATGTCTTTTCAATCCTTATCTTCTTGTTAAATCATCCCTTCTTAAAAGAGTTGACAACATTAGCAGGTCACACATTTCAAAACCTTCAAGAGCGAGCCCCTCCCTTAAACTGAACTCCAAGAGCTAACCATCGTTGTCGAATTTTTTGTCGTATAAGACTTATATATGAAGTGAATCACCCTAATTTTTTTATCGGATAGAAGGCAAATACAGTAAAAGACGTGGGCAATATAGGAAACTTGTGGAACAGCCGATGGTAAACACTATAAATGTTGGCATTTCTATATTTTGGCTGTTGGGCAAAAAGCCAATTGAAAAAGCTAGCTAACCAAACACCCCCATTATAAAATAATACGCTCTTTGAGTAATTAATGGCCAAAGTTTATAAAGTTTGACTCAAAAGGTCAAAGTGTAAACCTAAATACGGGGCAGATGGATTATATTTTCTCATATATCGATGATATTTTTTATATCGCATTATTCTTTTCTAGCTATTATATTTTACTGTGTAGCTACATTTTTAAGTATGGCTTAAATTTATGCAATAGTTCTTTCAACAAAAAAATCCTAATGCTGGTATAACTAAATCTCACTACACATTTTTAGACCTAACGTAACATTAAAGATGTAACATATCTATAAAAGTGTTACATATTTCTTTAATGTAACACTTTTTACACCTAGTGTAACACTTTCTAGAAATATAAATGTTACATTAGGTACTATAAAGTGTTACAATAGGTCAAATGAAACACGAGAAAATGTAATGGTAAAAAAATGTTACATTTTATCTAATGTAACACTTTTCAGACTTTCAATGATATTTTAACACTTTTGGGTGATACATACATTAGGGATTGAAATGTTGTAGTGTCCATTATTTCATTTAAAAGTGCAAGAGTGCTATACCAAGAAGAAGTTGTGCAAACCTTTTCCAAACAGATACCTATACGATACAGTATATAAAAACAACTTAATTTCCAACACAGTACAACATTTAGGATTTACTACTAATTCTACAAAAAAATACTTATTAGGCAAGGATTTTGGGTCCGAAAAGACCCCAGTATTACAAGTGTAACAATGTTGGAACGGCCTTTGGCTCGGATTCCAAATTAGAGACACCAATGCCCTTCCAATTAAACAATTAGGCTCAGATACAAGGATCCGTTCCGAAGTTTATCTTGGCTTTTGGCTCAACCGCGAAGTGCCAAGTGAGCCTAATGGCGATACCGCATTTGTCTCGGATTTATTCGCACCAAACATAATCCGTGCCAAAAGTAGTCGTTGCAACATTTCGAATTTGTGGCCTGCATATGTCTCGGTTATTGTCCGTGCAAAAAAAAATAATTAAAAAAAATGTTTGTCATATGATGTACGGAAACAATTTTTTTAAATACACGCACATTTATATAAAAATTCTTAACAATTTGGAATATAATTGTAGTACTGCAAAATATATATGCAATACATGCATGCAATAAGACAGTACGTCCAAAACACCCACAAATTAGCATACCATTACATATTGTTCACATATAAACAACATAAATGTTAAAAGAGAAATGGTCCTAATTAATAGGACTTCAAATGTCTATATATACTTAAATAAGACTCCAATTTTTTTAACTCCTAAATAGGACCTCGTTTTTATTTTGTTCCAAAACTGCCCCTATTTCCTTACGTTATGTCTTGCTCCACGACATTTGTTATCTCTCGTCCACGATCTCGCCAAACCCCCTCTCCCTCCTTCCTCCATAGCAGCCTCAAGGTCCAGCAGTGTATTAAACAAAGAAGGAATTGAGCTGTAGTGTCGGTGTAGATGTGGCGAGAAAGATGGGACACGGGAATGAATACGGTAGCAGTGGTACGGTGAGTTGGTGAGGCGGAGGCACAACGACACGGTGGCAGCGGGCCAGCGGCTGCACAAGGACGCAGCGACAAGGGGTTCAGCTCCTCTCCATTTCTTTCTCTCCATTTCCCCTCCATTTCCTTTTTACTTCCTATCTATTTCTACCTTTTTCTCTATCCTACTCATCAAACTACCCCCACCTTTAATTTTCTCCTCTCTATATCTCTCCTAATGGAACTTCGGAGAGGATCCAAATTCAGCGACCAGTTAGAGGCGGAAATTCCTGGTAAGACTCCTCCCCCCTTTTCTTCTGTCTGCTGTGTCTTCTCTTCCTCCGTGTTGCCTTCCTTGTTTTTCTTTTTTGCAACGAGCAAGAAACTGCAGATCTATTCTCTGGCTTCTTTCTTTGTGAAGCTGCTTCTCTGGTGCGCAGATCTATACGGGCATTGACTCTTTCTTCTATTTTTTCTTCCTTGCATGTGTTACTTTCTCTTTTTTTGTTTGCTCTCTTAATTTTTTGTTAGAAAAATAATTTTCTAAAATTAAATTGAGAGTGTTCCTTTCAAAAAAAAATTGAGAGAATGTCATCATGTTATGTCGGATGTCCCCGAAGGGACATGTCATCATGTTATGGGATGTTACTTTAATTTGCGTAAATATGAAATTATTTTCACAATTTTGCTATAGGTACTCCAATATCATCCCATTTACCCCATATAAAAGCCTCCTTTTTTACCACCCATTTTACCCTCTTTCCAAAAACCCTCCCCCCTCCCCCATTTTTCTTCTCCTTCCCTCCCTCTCCCCTCCATCTTCTCTTTTCACGCAGCCCCCTCCCCTTTCTTTCATATTCACAATTGTGTCCTTCCCTCCAAATTTTGATTTCTTCTCCATTTCAAGATCTCTCCCCATCAAGTCTTCTCATTTTTACAATCTTTTCTCCCTCCAAGCTTCTTCTCCTGTTTCTCTCCTCTTCTGCCTTTTTTTCATTTCAAGTGGAAGAGCTACAGTAATTGGACGAAGGGGAGAACTCGGTGACGTGGGGAGACAACGACGAAAGTGCAGATCAAGAAGCTTCGAATGACTTGAGCAGATCTACTTTTTTTAATTTTTGGTTTGTTTTTGAGGGTTGTCTGTCTGACAGACAACCCGTAAGTGCAGTGTCTGTATTTGTTAGTCTAGGAGAACAGTATGTTGTTTTTCATCATTTGTTTGTATTTGGTTTGGCGGACAGACAATTTGGAACTGCAGTGTATGTCTAGCATAAAGTGAACGTGGTTTCGTAGTTGTTTAAAGTGAACGTGGTTTTATAGTTGTTAGAGTCGTACCTAAAATGTGTGTGGCCAGACAACTTTAAATGTATGTGATTTTGTTTGGAAACATGGTTGTATTGGTAATGTAGTTTTTATATAAATGTGTGCCTTTTTTGAAACATGGTTGTATTGATAATGTGAAGACAAATGTGGTGAATGAATTACATATGTATACATATATTATTGTTTGTTTGTAGAGACAAAATGATAATTGTTTGTTGAAGTGAACATAAATATTTTTCTAAAATAACATAGTAAGAGGAAGAACATATTTGTATTGCAGTCCCCGTTGTTGGTATGGAGTTCCCTAGTAAAGATGTCGTGTATGATTTCTACAAGGCGGAGAGTAGGGTTTCCTGTTAGAATAAGGACTACTCTTTGTCTTACAGCCAGACAAATTTTGTCTTGGCCAGACATTAGTAGTCTGGGACAATTAACTACTCTCTGTCCTACAGCCAGACAAATTTTGTCTTGGCCAGACATTAGTAGTCTGGGATAATTAACTACTCTATGTCCTACAGCCAGACAAATTTTGTCTTGGCCAGACATTAGTAGTCTGGGCCAATAAGTACTCTTTTTCGTATAGCTAGACAAATTTTGTCTGGGCCAGACATTAGTAGTCTGGGGTATGTATTACTTTTGTGTCTTACAGCTAGACAAAAGTTGACTGGGCCAGACATTAGTAGTCTGGGCCAAGTAACTACTTTACGGAGCACAGCTAGACAAAATTTGTTTGTCCCAGACATTTGTACTTCCATGGACAATACCCATACACATCCAGACAACTATGTCATACACATATAGATAAATTACATACGCAGACAGACAATACGTAATTTAATACACATATATAACCACAATACGTAATATAGACAACTTTTCCCCAAATGCTACATTTCTATAGTTTGCTACATATACAAAAACATAAAATAATGTTCCAACCAATTGGAATATTGTACAACATTAAACATTAACAGTTGTACAATATTCCACACACATCGTACAAACAGAGATTCATAATGTTTGCAACTGGGTTAAACATGTCTCAAAAAAGATTCAAGATTTATAAAGAATTCCTATGCTTCATTCACATGCTTTAGTCGCCACAAACAACTTCCAATTGTTTCTTGGTCAACTCAGACTGCACCAAGCCTCCGGGCTCTTTGAAAAATGAGCGCACAGAATACTGGGCTGGAAACTGCTTCGACACAGGAAGTTGAAGTTCAAAAGCCCTGTATAATTTCAAGCAATACATATCACACATTTCAGGCAAATCAGTGATATTACAAAGACCCATTACAGATTACAGACAACTCATATACAATGCCAGACATTTTATATCACTTGACAAACAACTACACAACAGTTTTAAATAATTCAAAATGATGTGCCAGACAATTAAAATGGGTTGCCAGACAACTACTTGTACATGACAGATAACTACAAATAGCCTGCAAAACAATTAATTTCACTTTACAGACAACTATGAATCAAATTTAAAGAACTCAAATTGACGAGCCAGATATTTCATATCAAGATTAAATAAATCCAAAAAAATAGAACAAAATCCATACGTTTGGAATTTACGAAACTTGGGGGAGGTTCATCTCGCTCATAACCATTGTATGAATCTGATCGCTCCACCTTATCAAACACAAAAGGCTTCAATTAGAAGGATAGAAGTACTAATTCTAAGCAAATGATAAGCCAAGCTAGGGAAAACAAAACAAAACATTAAAGCTCTCAAAAAGAACCCATGAAATGCAATGAAGCCTGTAAAATATGATCCATCAAAGCACACCACGGAATCAGTTCAAAACTAACCACGCCCAGACAAATTGTTGTACACGAATATGAACTTATGCATAACTTCTAAAACACATAACTATTCCTTTCAAATACTTGAAGAAGTCAATTGGTAGAATGACAGTCCGGCTATAGAGAGCTTCAGGATTTCTAGCAGCGACTGAAGCTAGCTTCGTCAGTAAGGGGTCTCCAGGGTTAACCGGAGGTAAGGAAATATTGGCACTTCTTCTGCTACTGTTGAATGAACACAGTACACTAAAACAACGTCGCCTGAGGGAAAGAGTTGAGGGCGAAGAGGACGGAAGCATAGACGCCATCGGCAATGTGCTGGTGGTCATCCTCTGGCTATGTTTCCTCGTCTTTCTTTGGGGGTAAGGAAGACGGTTGTGGCGGATGGGTTTGAAATTTGCGAAACTTGTTGGGGAAGGGAAAAGGTAGGAGGGGAGGGAGATTTAGAAATGGAGGTGAGGGGGAAGGTTGGGCGAAGATGAGGGAGTTGAAGTGAGATGAGGGGGTAAATTTTTTGGAAGGGTTTTTATATGGGGTACAAATTGGGGTAAGGTTGGGGTACCTATAGCAAAATTGTTATTTTCAACAGTTTTGATGTTGTGACTTTCTTCCTACAATGAAACAACGTTAAACCTATTATGACATTGTTCAGTTTGAGAATGTTTATGACGAAAATGTTTGACAATTTTACAATGTTTACGGTAGTGTAACATTGTTAATTTTTTACAATGCTTATAATGATAATTTTAGGCATTATAACATTTTGTCTTGAAATTATATCATATTTTTTACATTGCAGCATCTTCATTTTATGGTGGAAATACTTGAAGGATCGGACTGTTAGGGGAGGTCACAGGAGTAATACAAATAGCAGTTGCTGAAGATCCAGGTGTCGGGGGGTCGCTTGAGCAGCGGCAGCGGCACCCACTGGAGAACAAACAGAGGCGGTCATTGACATTATTTTTAGCAATGTAATTTTTATAGTGATTGACATTCACAATATTGTCATTGACATTATTACAATGTCGTTTTTATAACATTGAAATTGTCATTGTCATAATTTTTAATAATAACACTAAACAAAATAAGTAACACGAATAAATTATGTTAACATTGTCATATTTATTTCTTTTTAACAATGTTTACAATAATGACACATTTGGAATTGTTTTTAATAATATCATTTTTATAGTATTAACATTGTCACGACAATGTCATTGACATTGTTATCGTTGACATTGTCGAGAAGAACTTACCAAAATGTTATAAAATCATTTAAATAAGGAGAGAGATAATTTATTTTCTAATAATATTTATGTAACTATCTCTCATTCCATATGTGCATCATGCACATCGTAGTATTGTAGATGCTCTTATAGTTATAATACATATTCACCATAGTGTAGAGTTTAATATAACAATTCATAATCATTAAAGTTATTATAGTAATCACTAAAGTGCAAATTAAAAAAGTCATATTCTTATCCGATCCCCTATCATATTCAGGGGTGGTTCGGTACGGTATACCGAATAATTTCTCTCATACTGATGGATAGTCTACCCGGGGGTATGTATCCGAAAGGTTACTACGGGGAGTAACTAGAGAGAAGTTAGAGCAAAAATAAGAGAGAGAGTGTATCGCTGAGAATGTAATGAGCGATTTTTGCTTGGATTACAAATGGGGAAAAGGGGCGCTATTTATAGTAGTAATAAATGCCAGATAGGGACACGTGTCATCATTCTGGTGGTCGAGGGGTCACCTCAACGGGGTGGCACTGGCATTCGCATGTGGCCGCAATAAATGCAGTTGTTGGATGTGCTGTCGTACTTGGTACGGTGATTCAGGCGCATGTGGAGAGGATATTATGACGAGAAAGGTGCCCTCGGCTGCAGATGGTTAGCCGAGGGCTCTGAGTACCGGGAACCTCCTTAGTGCCGAGGGCTCTAGGTGCCGAGGGCTACTCATTTTCGCTGTTTTCTCCCAGTAACTTTGTTTGCTTGAATTGGCCATCCTGTGAGAATTTGGAGCCTTCGGCCAGGGGGCCGAAGGCACCCCCAGCGTGCCACGTGGGTTGCTCAGTACTTGGGGCGCTGTGATTTGGGCTGCTGTGCTTCCTGGGCCTATTGGGCCTCCCTTAGAATAGTAGGTGTCTATGGGCCGGGGGTTCCTGGGCCATATACTCCATCAGGAGTCCCTCACTCCTTTTGCCGAAAGGTACTTGAGGGAAAAAGAGTAATTTGTGTTTGTCCTTTGGTGTTGTTCCGTTGTAGTTTGTAAAGTTTGTGAGTAGTTTGTTGTGTGCGTGTTTCAGCCGAGGGCAGTCCCTTAGTTACCCACATTTCGGGACTTGAGGGATCATGTTTGTTGTTGTGGGAGTTTTTTGATATTTTGAGATTTTTCCCGAAGGGGTCCTCCAGTCCCCCACTCCTTGAGGCACTTGCAAAGTGGTGAAAAGGAGTAGAGTAGTGCCTGCCTGCAATATGAAGCCAAGGGGTGACGCTTTTCGCTTCATTTTGGGGAGATGCCTCGTTAAAAACCTCATTGGGAAAAAATTCCAATGAGGGAAAAAGAGTGCACTGAATTCCCCTAATGATGAGTCGAAAAGGTGAAATCCCGGTTTGAAATGAGTGGCAGTATTTTTGCCGAAGGCTATCCCTATCTGAAGGCGCGTGTGTTGATTTGCCGAAGGTTCGTTGTTGTTATCCTGAGAGATGCCAAAGGGGGAGCCCTCAAATTATGAGGATGATATTTCCGGTGTTGTCGAGGGGTCCCTTGTTTGTTTACAAGTGGGGGGCTGTGGTGCCCCGAGAGGCTTCCATAATAAGGTGTGCCTCCCGGGGGCCACGTGGTCCTCAATGTGTTTGAGGGCTGTGTGTTCCCGAGGGGTGTGCCTGTTGTGAAGCCGTGGGCTTCTGAAGGAGTGAGCCCGAAGGCACTTGTGATGTATTATGAGGGGCCTTGGCCAGGAACACTTCAGGGTAAGTGTACCCGGGGGCTCCTCTTAATGAAGTGGAGCGAAGGAGACAGCCCGGGTTCCCAGAATATAGTCGTTTGTAATAGAGCCGTTGGAAGATGTAGCGTCGGAAATATAGCCGTTGGAGGGAGGCCTCCACGTGGCGTGCGTTCGTTGGCTGCCTGTGGGCGGGCGTCACCGATTGGGCAACTCGTCGGTTTGTAATGATGACTTTGTACCGGAGGCCCGGTTTTCAGGCTCAAGCCCGGATTTGGGCGCCTATAACTACCCCAAGGCCAGGGTCACTTCCCCTTGTGCGATTTCAGTGTAGCGAAGCTCTGCCGAATTTTCTAGAGAGAGAAACACCTGCCTTCGATCCAATTCTTGTTCCAAGGTCAGTCCCCCACCCGCTCTTCACCTCTCTTAGTTAGCTGTGCTTTGTGGCCTTAGATTAGAGGTTAGGATTCTGTAGACAGCCCTCGGTGTAGAGTCCCGTTTTCGTAGTATACCAAAATGTCGTCCCAGAGCGATTCGCAGGACATTTCGAGGGAGCCTTCGGTCGAGGATGAAACCATCTCCGATGTGGAGTCCACAAGTGAACAGCCCTCGGTGGGGCATGATGCCGCCGTGGCGATGGAGTTGCAGAGAGCCCTCGTTGCCGAGGTGGAAGCCGAGGGGTTCGAACAAGAATGCGAGGATGAAGAGATGGCTCTCGCCTGGTAAGTGGACGAGGAAGAGGCGCAGAGAGAGAGCATGAGGGTCACCGTCGCTGTTCTTCCTCCTCGCGACGCCGGTGAGGCTAGCACCTCTCGGCCATTGAACCCGACCCCTCTCCGGGTGGCCCCCGGGAAGAAGAAGACGAAAGCTGCCGCTTCCAAGAAGAAAGGCAGCGTTGCTGACCAAGGGAAGCCCGTCGATATGCCCGAGGGGTACTCCTTCCTGAATATCGCCGCCCTTGAGATAAGGTCGAAGGCTGATGGGGCGGACTTCTATGTTACCCAGCTCCATGTGGGGCCCTCGACGACGGTAGTGCCACCGGGACCTGATGATGTCCTCTCCTGGGCCCCCGAGGGATGTATAGCCGTTCACATCCTCTCGGTGTCAATGGGCCTCCGATTCCCTCTGCACCCTTTTCTGCGTGAGTACCTTCGGTACGTAGGACTGCTCCCCTGCCATCTCACGCCGAATAGCCACTCGTACATCGTTGGGTTCCTCCATCTCTGTAAGTCCTGGGGGGTAACGCCTAGCTTGGACTTATTTTTCCAAAGTTTCAACTTGTGTCGGGGGGCATGCGAATGCCGAGGGCTTCGCGAACCTGCAGCAGGTGGCTTTGTTCAAGTTATTCACTGAGGCGCCCTCCTCAAACAAAGGGTGGAAAGACCGATGGTGCTACGTGAAGCTAGCTGAGAGCCCCTTTCCGAGGGACCTGCGCGACCGGTTTAGGCGGCATGAGACGGTGAGGAGCGCCGCCCTCGAGAAGGATGACAGGATCCTGGCTAAGATCCCGGAGGGTCGAAACAAGAATATAACCATCAAGGAGTGCACCCAAGAGGAGGATCTGTATACCCTTGGGTTCCGGTGGTACCGTTTCCTGGGGGAAACAGATGAAAAGTACCCGATGTTTGATGGAGCCTCCGGGGGTTTAGGAGGTAGTAGCCGAGGGCATCCAATTTTTAGACTTATGAATATTTTTCTTTGTTAGACGTAGATATTTTTTGCACCTTTTCTCCTTCGGCCTAAACCGTCTTCATTCTTTTGCAGGTATCAGCATGGATCTTAACGCCTTCGCCGCTCTCAAGAAGCAGAAAGCCAAAGTCCCGGGCAAGAAGGAGCCCAGTAAGCAGAAGCCCCTCGGGGAATTTTTGAAGAAGGGTGGTGAGCCCTCGGACGAAGCTGCCAAGAGGAAGGCAGCAGGCAAAGGTCCAATCCCCGAGGGGAAGAGACAAAAGAAGGGGGATGCTGGGAAGAAGGCTCCCCCGGTGGTGGTCGTGGATGAGCACTCCACCTCTAAGCCCAGGGGGTGAGGTAGGTTTGCCCCGGGAGGACATACGGTTTTCTCTGCCGAAGGGTGCCGCCATTACACATGGCACTGTGGACCCTCGGGAGTTCTTGGGCGGGGCTACTCCTTCGTTGGACAGGAAGGCCCTCGGAAAGCCCGGCGATGAGGCTCTCGAGTCAAAGATCCTCCGGTCCTCCCTCACTGTAAGTTTTTTTTTGCATAGTGGTCTACCTCCTCTATCAGTTGCATGATAGTAGCCTTACCCCCTTATCTTGTTGTTAACAGGCTTGCATAGCCCTCGGTGAGCATGCCAGGAGGTTCGATGAGTGGCGCCTCCAGAAGGCGCAACAGGATGAGACTATGAAGAAGCTCATCCGTGATAACGCCGAGGCCGTGAGGCAAATGGCCCAGCTAGAAGGGGACCTTCAGCAGGCGAAGGCTGCGGTGGAGAAGGCGGCTAACGAGAAAGCTGAAGCCAAGAGGGCCACTGCTGAGGCCGCGAAGAAAGCCTCTGAGGATGCAGAGGCCGCCAAA